CGTAACTCGTTGCTCATCAATAGGCAAACTCACATCATTGATCAGGGGACTAAGGAAGAGTTTTTCTGTTCCAGAGCTGATTTAGCAGAGGACATATGGCAGTACTGAATCTCAGTAGTGATTGACAATGATTTGCCACTAAATCCTGTCAGCAGGCACAAGAAATTATCTCATTCATGAACAATAAACTTTGTGATGCCCATTTGCTGTTCATTCTTGACTTCTCTGTAAACTCCAGACTCTGTAAAAACTCATAAAACTCCTTCAAATTCTACTTGTTCTCTAGACGCCATTTTATTAAAATTATATCATGTGATATTCAGTGTTTATTGACAAGCTTGCGGTTGGTACCACATGGTTGGAGCAATCTGATTGGTGCGCATACATTCCAGCGCAAGGACCAAGAAAAGCTTCGAGTGTCTCCAGACCCTTCCTCATCCAGCGAAGGGGCGGGGCCAGACTAATTAACTCCCTAAATATAAGTTAAAAACCCCCAAAACAAGTGAAAAGACAATTCTACATAAAAATAGTACCTGAAAGTAATAACCACCATACCAGTAGGGTTTCCAATGAAAAAATGATGGTTCTCAGATTTGACTTTATTACCACTAGATCTTTTGCTTGGCCTTGTATGAAGCCAAATCTTTATTTAGCCGCCATTTTGAAGCTCCACCCAACAACGTGTAGCTCTAGCTCTTGCTCGAGTTCTTGCTCCATAAAGTCGCCTCTGCTGGTCTGAACATCTAATCAGAAGTAGCTAGATCTATTCAGGAGATTATCAGGTAGTTTATTGCTTAAAATAACATGTTATCATTGGGTAGAAGCCTGCAATGTTGTAGCGGTAGCCACATTCATGAGTAAACCTTGACCGTTAAAATAGTGTAACTAGCATTGTATGGCTCTCTCATCCTAAACTTACTTCATTGGTCTCTGTTAGATATTCTGATTGAGTTTCATAATTATACAGTGCATTCTACCATTAAAAATCAATATTTTAAAAAGTGTGTATGGCATTAATTAACTAGCCCAACCCCTTTCTTTATGTTGTATGGCTTCCTCATTTAAAACCCTTTTCTTTAGTGCTTAATAAATGCACTGAATAAGTTTTAGCATCATGGCATAAATTTTACCATTAAGAATGACTGCATAAAGAATGCTAGATGTAACTTGTTCTATCACCCATCTTCGTAATTACTAAACTAAAGTACTAAATCTATTTTTTTAGTGTTCAAAGTTGTCCTATTACAAATTTAAAATTTTGAGAATGTTGTAACGTTTATAAGTTATGAAATCTGAATGTAATGATGTCAACTTTTAAAATTAATAGATAATGTCCAGTGATGAACAGACCAAGATAATTATCTCATATGGAGACCTTATAGATCTTTATGAAAGTGCCTCAGATGATCATCATTTCATTAAGAAATTTCATGAAGCATTTCCTAGCTACAATTTAAGTCGTCCAAAGCGATTAATTGAAACTGTACACCGAATTGTGGCACCCACAAAGCCAAGTCTTAGGGGGCCATCCAAATTAAATGGATCTTCCTTGTTAGCTTATCGTCGAAGAATGTGGAAACCTCATGTTCCAAATCCTATAAGATCAAGCTCAGGTATGATAGTTAAGTGTGGTTTTATAATTATATTCATTGGTTTTTGCAATAACTAATGGGGGGGTGGCTGTTACTACAAGACAATGCAAGCATAATGTTATATCTTTTTCATAGATATTCAGTTCCCAGTCAAACTCCATTCAAATTATGGGTTGGATGAAGCATTACTAGTAAAGTGCTTTGATGCAGTTAAAAGTGGTAAAAAAAGTCCATGAATTTTGGAACGCACAACTCCAAAAGCTTCATTTTACGAGATACTTCATCCTTTCCTTAAAAGATGGTCAAAAACATGTCAAAGCACAAAGAGTCTAATAGGATCATTTTATGTAGCAATAGATAGCGATTTTGCAGAAATAAGACCTGATAATGTGTACAGATATGTGGAATCACTGTGCGAAAAGGGCACAGTCAGTTCACTTTGCTGCAGTACAGAGCAGAATTCTTCTCAAGAAAATGACATTGGTGATTCAGTTTCAAGTTTATCTGCTGAAGTCCTCGACTTGCGACAAAAGCGAGAACTTTCCAAGAAAAAGTTGGCCTTAGCCAACTCTGCACTAAAAGACATAACAAATGAGAAGATTAAAGTGCACAAAGAAAGAGATTCTGCAGTAAAGAGAGCTACTAGATATCACAAAGCGAACACTGCAGCAATGAATGACATTGAGAATCTAATAGAGGAATTTGATGCATCTGAATCATTTTCTGCTGATAGCAACGATTCTATGTTTTCTCCTGATGTAGTCACAGCAAATAATATTGGTTCACAAGATTTCACTTCCACTAAGTCTGGAAAGACATATTCTAATTCAGTTAGAAAATTATACTATACTTTGCTGTCAAGTGGTATTCCTGTTAAAAAAGTTGAAACTCTAGTTAAAGATGTAGTAAAGTGGTCCAATCCTTCAGTTGATGTATCAAAACTTGAACTTCCGAAACGAAGCTGTGCTAGCTATATTCGTAAAGAAGAACTTAAAGTTATTAGTAATACCCACAAAGCCTCATCGTTATGTGAGCAAATTGATACGGGCATGGGGCTTAGAATTAATGCAGATGGTACTACTAAGAACCAGAAGAAAATTAAT